TTGTTCTGGCGTTTTCTTAGCAAATATTTATGTATTCAATCTCATGAGTTTCACTCCAGGATGTTGTTGTGAAAATCAGGAAATAAATCCAGTCTTGTGAGGCTAGTACTGAATATGTGACAGATTCAAATGGGGAGAGAAAGAGCCATTGTTTATTCACAGCAACATTTATGGAGTCTTTTGGATCGCCAGTGATAAATTAAAAGCTCCAGGTATAACTAAATGCTTATTACTAATAATAAAAACACCCTATACACACACGCATGCCCTAACAGCAATAACAACTTGCCCGCGGTAGGCCTGGCTGCCTGGCAAATAGACAAGCCCGTTGAAGAGAAATACAGTGGAACAAGATACAGTAAAGTCACGACAAGATCCAAAGATACACTCAGGGAAGCACAGAAATGCACCTGAGGAGAAAAAATGTGAAATACGCCCAGGGAGGGAAAGTCTGCCTGTCAGTGCTGGCTGAGGGAGTGCTGCCCACAGAGCGTCTGGGGTCGGGGCATGGCGAAGGAGCGGATGCGTCAGTCCGTCTGTCGTCGGCGTGGTTCTGAGCTGATCCTGTCCCGATTTCTGGGCTGACATTGGGGTGATGTTTATACTGAAATGTTTACAGTACATCAGCAGGTTATAAATGCAGGTGGGGATGACTACAGACCATCTTATCGCTTATGTTAATGCCACAAAGTCCATTATTTCACACCTGTATGGGTGAAGGTAGTGGCTCCTTTTGTTAGGGCTAAGACTATGGGAGACTAAGACCACGAGGCCTCTTCCCTGCTTTGTACTCCTCCAGGCATCCAGATAACACCAGATACTGACCTAGTGATGGCTGCCACACTGGCCCTGTGCTGGCCACCTTGTCAGATGCTGAGTTTCATGCTTCCAGGCATGCAGCTGCATGGTCTACCTGACTTGGACTTTGTGATCAACATGGTTTTCACTACAGATGTATGCAAGATAATGCTGAGAGAAGAGTGGGAAGCTGAAGTATCATTGCATAATATTTCAGAACAGCATTTTCTACTATTGAGGCTGCTGTAAACCTGGAGGATAGCATCAAGATTTCTAGCTGTGCCCACTGAATTCATAATGGACACACATGACCTTAGTATACTCTTAAGTGATAGGATATTCTTTTTCCTTTTTGGAAGATTAGTGGCAGTAAAAAGAACATAGTTACAACAAAAATGTTAAGCCTTGCCTATCATCTGTAAATTGTCATTCCAGGGACTGTATTTAAAAATGTGAAGCAGTTAATTAAGAAGGTGTCAGTTAATAATGAACGTCCTGTGATTTGAAGTAACTGCCTTCCAAATGGTTATTCTATTGCTAAAAATCAAAGATGTTAATATGTATAAGCACTACAATACTAGAATGTTTAAAGTGGACAGGTAGATGCATATGATATAATAGATGCCTACAGTGGATTTGAGGTGCAGGTGGCTAAAACTCAAGCTATGTCATAGGTTTTCCATGCTTTCAAGAGGAGTTAGTTACACCTTTGACCTTCTCCCAGTCTAAAACCCTACTGCTCTTTTACACTTTGTTACAGACAACAGGAGTTTATATACTCTGAGAGAAGTCATTTGACATGACAGGCAAATACGTGAGTTTCAGTGGGATAGCTAACTGCTGTCCAAATATGTTATTTGTGTTATTGCCACATGACAAGTTAAAATGACGATACTGATGATGGACTGATAAATTGTAAGTTATTTATTTAAATGGCTGATTAGCAAAGTTGTGCTTATATGAGAGGATTACTGCTTTTGACTTGGTATTGCTTTACACCAAGTGAAGATGTTGCCTTTTATCTTTTGTGTTTTTAAGAGATTAGAAAGAATTAGGGAGAGAAGAAAACTTTCAAAGCATCAGTATTTTCCAGATAATATTTCCAGTTTCACAGATGTTGTCTCTTTCTCCACAGCTGTCTCAGGAGTGAGCAGTGCCACTTTTCTTCCAGTTGTCTTGAACATGGAACATATTTCTTTAAATGGTGGAAGGAGACTTTCATTGCTGCAGTCACCACTTACTGAGGAATGGAACCAGAGAAAAATAAAAATAACTGGGAGGTAGAGAGAAGGAGGAGGTTTTGGAGAGAGATAGTTTTTTCCATGTGCAGTTAACAGAATCAAGAAAAGAAAAGAAAATGGAAAGGAAGCTGATAATTTATTACACTATCTTTAGCAGAAAAGAGAATTAAAAAAAAAAAACTTGGCCATGAGCAATGTAGCATTTCTCACCTACTCAATGATATAAAGCACACAGGACAAAAATAAGGTCTGGCAGAGAAGATATCACGTGGAAGCCTGCAGTGTTTTAGCAGGTTGAGAGCAGGTGAACAGATTGTTTAACATTAAACTAATCAATGGTAAATGAGTTTCTTATCATATACCTGGCAGTGAGGGTCATTCAAACCCTAGAAATATCCTAAAAGTAACGTTTACTATGTAATACAAACCCTCATTTTTTACAACTGTTCTTTCTTACATATTCTTTGTTCTTATGGGCGCTAAATTGTCTCAGCTACCTCATTCCCTAGCAAAGCTGCATAACAGTTCTGATACTGCTTACTGTCACCAGCATGGTTTCAATCTAGAATTACAATCTAAATCTTGATTATTTGAATTAGTGTAGTATTTGCTATTGATGGAACTGTTTATCCTTTCTTGTATTATTGAATGCTCCTGAGCTTGCTTAGTGTGGCTCGTCTACATGTTTTTCTAGCAGAGATTTGTCAAGGAAGAAGGCATCATACTCACTAATAAAACCTTTCGTTGTATGTTTAAATTAGGGAAATCTGAGAGAAAATTAGATTAACAGTGTGATTTCACAATCAATTTTTTGTACTTTTTGACACATGGCACCTGGATGATCACATGATATGCTGTATCACATGGATTCATGTACTATGTTTTCATTTCAACAGAGTTCAAGACTTTTTAACAGTTTATTTTGAAATACTTCCAGTAAAACTGTTTTTAGTTTTACAAGGTACATCAATTGACACTGTTGGCTGAGCAGTTGCGTGCTGTTCCTAAAGAAACACGTGTTTGCATGTTTACTGCCTGTTTTGCATGTTTAGTGCAAAGATCGTGTAATATCCTGCAGAAAAAAAGAACCATATGCCATTGAGAAGAATATATATGTGTATGTTTCTTAGTACTGAGGATATTTCAGTAGGGACCTCTGAGCCCTACTGAGATGGAGCTCTTGTCATGTTCATCATTGCGCCAAGAAAAGCCATGAAAGAAATTCATTGTCTCAAAGTAGAAAAGAACCTTTCTTATGGACTCAGAGTATCTTAAACTCTGGTGTTTCAGGTAGGCTCTTCTTTGTACAGATTTGCCATCCCTGGGCTATGATTACTATTGCACTAAGACGATGTGGCTTTTCAGTATTTGCACTCCATGGAGCTCTCACTAGGAGATGTGTGGAATTCTGTGATGATAAGCAGTTGCATTAAATATTACATGTATTGTTTAGAGAAAGCTTAGCTTCACAGAGGGTAACTTTGGAACATGCACATATATTATTTATTGACATTTGTGCCAGGTTCACATTCAGAATGGCCTAATTCAACATCTGCTCCTGATTAAAGTGAGCGTCCGGTATTTCACAGATAATTATGAGACACGAGCTTACTGACCTGTAGACCTACCAGACAAATGGGAACCAGGCTCTCTAGATGGATGGTAAGACCTGGTTCAGTGCTGGGTGCAATTCTGATCACACCTTTTACATGGGCTGTGATCAGAACAGGGTTTGTCTGTTATACCCTGTTTTCAAGTAGAAGTACCAGCAACTTCAGTGTTGTGTCCTAGGGACAGAAAGAAAAAGAGAGATGAAGATTTCTTCAACACAGAAGAAGTAAATGGGAACATTCTTGAAAGTTCTACCTGTTAAACTTTTTCTCTTGCTTACTCTGAAAAATCTCAATTTGTGATCCCTCTTTTGCCCTGACATATAAGTTCATCGTGTAACAATGGAATGAATTAATCTATAACACAACTCCTTGGTGACCAGGATATGTGGAGACAGTTTGTTCCCTGGTTGAGTTTGTCCAGAGAGTCAAGCTGCCTTATAGAGAAAATGACTATAGAATGGTAGCTACATACTGCAAGAAGCCCCAGCTAATTTTGCCTTCTCTTGTTCCAGAACAAGGTGCATAACTCATTATTGTTTGTTATGAATTGTAAAGATGAGCTCATTTCTGGTCAAGAAATACAATATTCAGTCTTTTCTTTATGTTGGTACTCTGTTTAGCTCATGCTACAGTTTTTAAGTAGTGGAGATGATTATTCTGATATTAAGCCTGAAATGTCCCAGAGGAAAGGACTGTGATCTTTGTTTTTTATTTTCCTCTGTGCTAATGTTCCCTGGAAATGCATGCCTGTGAATAAGTAACCTAAAATGCCTCTCTCTGTTAGCAGCTCTCTTAAACTGCAGGATGATTTTTTTTGTGGTCCAGTTTATCTATATGCATCTATAAGTGTGTGTATGTGTGGATTTACAAAAGCAGACAAATGCTTTTTGGCCTGGTACTTGCTTTATGTTTCTTCTTTAGGGCCTATGGAAGAATTATAAGACGACACCAGTCAGTAGTGCAGTACTGTTGCAAACTGCATTGCAAATTCAGACTGCAACGCCAGACCGTGCCAGTCTGTGTAACGGGCACACCTACAGAATCTTCTCCTCTGATAGGCCAGTTGTGTTTATGCACTTCCTTTGAAAAAGCAGTAAGAATGGCAAAAAGCAGTTCTTAATCAGATCATTACAAAGCATATCCCACCAAGACTCTGTGGAAGCTCTTAGAGCTATCCTTCAGAAGCAAACAGTGTAAATGTTGTCTCCATAGCTCTGACTCCTCCTATAAACATTTCAATCTTGAGAAGTTATGCCATTGTAATTTCACTTCTGCTCTGTATTTGTTGCATTGGATTTACTCTGACAGACCTGTTATCTGCATAACCACTGGGATTTTTTCTTGCCAGGTATTATCAGCCGCCAGGAGGCAGAAGAGCTGTTGATGAACAAATCTGAAGGAACATTCCTGGTGCGAGTCAGTGAGAAAATCTGGGGCTATGCATTGTCTTATCGCCAGCAAAGTGGGTTCAAACACTTCCTGGTTGATGCTTCAGGGGATTTCTACAGCTTCTTGGGGGTAGATCCAAACCGACATGCAACACTGACAGATCTTATTGATTTTCACAAGGTAAGACTTGCTAGATAGAGATCAATAGCTGAGTGGAATGGATTAATAATTTAAAGAACTATGTAATTTGAAACCGTGCTGGAAAGTAGTAGTAACTATAGAGAGGAAAAGAATATACATATATATATATATGTATATAATGTGCAAAAGCAAAGGAGTGGGGCCCTGCACTAAAGAAAGGGAACATGGAGGGATTATCTTTTAGGAATTTGCTAAGGGTCATTCTTTATTATTCAAAGCAATCTTACAAGATTAGTTTACTACTTGTCTTTGACTTTTGAGGGGTTTGAATTACTTCGCCTCTAACCTGTGGTTCTTGTTGCCAGAGTGTGACTACACACTGGCACTGTTTCTGATAGCATAGGTTGTTTTTATCACCCTGCATCTCTCCCCATCTTCAGCTGTTTAAATTCTGCTTTTTTCTTAGCTATCTTTTCATTTTTTCTTCATCTCTCTTTTCTAGTTCCATTTCCTTCTTTATCCTTTTTTCACTTTTGTCTCAAACAAATTCTATTTGCTCCTCTTTTTCTTCACAGCTTTAATATTTTTGAGTGTTCAGTCTCACAAACACCAAGCAGAGATTATTTTTGTCTAATTTCCCTTATTTTTTAAATCTTTCTGTTATTTCAGCTAGTTTGCAAGATCCCTTCATTGTTCCCTTAGTGTCCTCACAAAGATAACTATGACATTAGATTTCCATAAATTATATTTCCACATGGAAGGATAGTAGATGTCACATTTGTCAAAAAAAAAACCCCAAACTCCTCTCCTAATTTGATACAGTTCTTTCTCAGTAGCTCCCTTGGAAGCCAACCTCCCCCTCCCCCCAACCCCCAATTCTTCCTCTATCCTAGTTTTTATTGCTGAGCATGACATTATATGATTCAGAATATCCTTTTGGCCAATTTGGGTCAACCAGCTGGTCTGTGTCCCCTCCCAACGTTTTGCTTATTCCCAGCCTACTCACAGCCAGCAGGGCCTGAGTGGGAAAAAGACAGTTTTGACCCTGTGCAAGCACTAATCAGCAACAGCCAAAACATTAGTGTGGTATCAACACTTTTTTAGCCACAGATTCAAAACTCACCATCCTACAGAATGCTCTGAAGAAAGTTAATGCCATCCCAGCCAGATGCAGTACAACTGGAAAGAATCTAACCAGGGCCTTGTCAGGGGGAGAAAAGCACATGTACATCACCTCAAATGCAGATTATCAGGCATTGGATGTAGGAGCTCTGGCTAAAGTAGTATCCCCTGTGCTCTTGGAGGGCGGTGATGGTGACAACCAATTCCAACCATCTCTGCTCTAGCTATGTTCCTATATTTTTATCACAGCTCATCCCAGGCAATCACTGTACTAGAAACATATATGTTTGCAGACAACGGTAGGCATTTGTCAGAAGCAGAATAGCTTTTAGTTCCTGACAGTTTTCAAAAAAAGTTTTCTTAGATGTCCCCTGCTAATGATTAATAGCTCCCCCTCTAGTAAGCCTGTCAGAGAACCTGGTTCACCTCTCATGTCACCACAATTCTCTTTCAACTATCTAGCCAAATAGCTATATTAAAACTGGTCTTTTTGGCCATCGTTTCAGGAGAGTTCTTATCCTGTCTCTCACATGGTTTTCCATGAAGCTTTTCTGCCTATCCTTTCTGGTGAAGTACATTGTCAAGTGTCCCAAAGCCCATCTGCCGTGCAATCTTTAAGTAGGTGGTTGTGCTGCAGGCACACTTTCTCTTGCAGCTATTGCTCTGTCGTCTGGAAAAGTTGCTTCTTCCTCAGGACTGTTTTTGGCAAGAGTATACTTCCCCACCTCAAAAGCTGTGTGGACTTCTCTTTGAGGGTCCTTTTCACTTTCAGTCAAAGTGAGCTGGGCTGACACAGCTAATTTTGTAGTTACTTATTCATCTAAAACTGCTTCACTTTGATTTGAAAAAAGTTAAGAGCTCACTCAAACAACTCAGCTGACAGATAGGAGGGCATGGTCACCATGAGCTGAGAGAACAAACTCACAGAAGAGGGTGTGAGTGTGCGTTTTACTACAGCTTGCATTGAATTACTGTGTGGAAAGCAGGAACAGCATATCCAAGATTATTGCTAAATGTTTGTATTTACTGCCTCATAACCTTCTCAAAAGCATTTAATTTGACTAGTAACTGCCTGAACTTATTCTCAGTCTTTTGTAACGACTGGGAAGATACTACTGGGAGTCTACATGTGTTCCGAGGAAATCAGGCACCAAATTTCTGCTGAAATTCAATAGAAACTAGACAAGTTTAGAAAATGTTAGGCTCGTTTATAGATCAGTAACTTGGATCTAAATTTTCAGATGAAGGATTGCCAATTTAGTCAACATGGTCCTGGATTCTGACTCATTTTGGTACATCTATAAATCTTAAACTTGCACAAAACCAAAAATGAACTGTCATTATTCTAGGAATAAGTGCAAAGATCAAGGTCTTTACTTTTCCAGGGAAGTTTTGTTTTTTTTTTTTTTGTATTCATTTTGGTAATCAATTACTGGAATGACAAACTTGGCATGTGAGTGTTTAATTAATGAGATTAGGTGCTATTTGTAAAGAGTGTCTTTATCTTGGCAAGGTTAGTATCTTTCACCTCTTTGTAATCAGAATGCTGTTACTGTTGTGTGAGCACTCAAAACTGAGCTCTTGGTTGTTCTGCCTGGGGGAGCTTCTTTCACCCCAATGTCTATGGAAGCAGCATAGTAGGACAGGCATATGTCTTAAATTAACCCTTGAGAACATCCTTTATTGGCATTTGTAGCTGTTTTTCTTAAGTAGAATAGCAATTTACCGGCAGTAAAAACCACAGCCTTTTGCTACACTGTTTGATTTCACTATTGATATTAGCACAAGTTACTACTGCAGCTATGAGATAAAAAGTGGAAAAAAAGTTAATAGTTTATCTGATCCAGTTGCTGGCCTGTACTTATTTTGTCAAGTGTTGATTCGTAATTGATTACCAATTACAGTAGAGTTTAATTTTTTTTTTTTATTGGAGTGTAATCTTTATTGCTATTGGTTGTTTTTCTTAGAAGACGGGGAAGGGATTAGGTCTTTGATTTTATAATTTGTTTTGTCTTTCTAGGAAGAAATCATCACATCCTCAGGCAGGGAGCTACTACTGGAGCCATGTGGACAGCAGAAGAATCCACCAGACTACAGCTCTTTATTTGAATAACTGGTCCAGGACTAACAGGAACTAATTCTGGATAGCTGTAGTAATAGATAACTACAAAAGTAAACACTGAAAAATACTTAACAAACTTTTAAAGCCACTGGTCTTGTGGCCAAAAAGTATCCTCATTAGAAGGCCCAAAATATTTCTGGCTTGGATCTGACTTATCATCCTTATTGATATTGTTAGCATTTTAAAGGTGAGAGATTACTGGCAAATTAGAAATGAGGACTATTCCCAGAAGTATTTCAAGGGCTGTGGCCAATTTTGCTGTACCCTACATTCTTATCTTAATTTTCTTAATGTCTAAGATTGAAAGTACAAAATGTAGCAAGAAGTATGGGCAGGAACTATTTGTATTGTATGAGGTACCAATATTGGTGAACAGATTCTTTTTTCCAAAGCAAGGTTTGTTAGTTGCTGTTGACAATCTCATTACTCAGTGGTGCACTTTTGATAAAAAGAATCACAGAATCACAGAATGTTAGGGGTTGGAAGGGACCTCTGGAGACCATCAAGTCCAGAAGCAATCTTTTTTTTTCTGCATCCTTTTTCTGTTTGTGATTGCTTAAATGGTTAGGTGTAGCTGGAAGCTTTGCCATTGCTCTTTTGAATTCTGACTTAAAAAGTTCACTGCAGCAGAGACAGAATAAGGTCATTCACAATTTATTTACTATATCTTGCAGTTCAACAGCCTTGGAAAGATTTTTATTCCTATACAGAAAGTGGTCAGGTTGTTCTAAACTGGTTATTCTAGTGAAAGCAGTTTGATGTGCAGCAACAACTCTTCCTCTCACTGGTATTGTTGTATCTTCCACTTTCTAACAAGTGATATAGATGCTGGAGAGTCCTAGCTTTACTATGCTAGAGGACCAGGTATTTCCTCAGCTGAGCTGTGAGTGAAAGCTGGGGTGGTATCTTTATCCACAGAAAAGGTACAACTAATTACACTATCATCATACTACTTCATCTTTAAAGAAAAATGCACACAGTGTGTTCTTGATCCATCTGTTATGTGTTAATAAACTCCATGAAAATAGACCTGTAGCCTGGACCAATGAAGCAGTTGCTTAGTGTTTGGACTACTAAAAAGAATTATTTTTAAAATCTCATCACAGTAGTTAATTTGCTCTCCTGAAATTTGTATCTTAGCAGTCCTTGTACTCTGGGCTGTCACACAGTATAGATGTAGTCTTGTGGTTTTTTACTGGTAAGCTGGATACTACTGAGGGAGCCAATTCAAGAAAGGAAGTGAAAGAGTTGCAGAACTGTTACCTTCCTGTGCTCCTTGCTCTATTCCCAGGAATGGCCAGGTAGAAAAATGCTGGGTATAGAAGTGTCCTTTTCAACTCCAGACATTTGTTTTACAGGGCAATATTTCAAATAACAGGGTTGTGACAGTTCTGTATGCAATTGATTGCTTTCAAGAGTGAAGTGGGGCATGAGGAAAGTAGTTGTGTACCTGTTGGTTAGGCTCATAGCTATGCGTTAAATAGGCCGTTTCTCAATCCTTTGTCATATGTGATGTGTATTTTGAGATGTAAAGTGGACCACTCTGCATGCACCTATGTGGTTAAATTTTTTCTGGGAAACTCTGAACACATAGAAAATGCACACTGAGTATATTTCTATATGCTACTTCCTTAGGTAGTCTTTGAATTCCTGTGTGGTTCTCTTCCACATCCCAGTGTAGACTTCCCTCCTGAACCCCATGTAAATCCAGCTCTCCACAGTCATTTGTCTTGACTTACTGTTACCTTCTATACTTTGTCTGACATAGATGGTAAGCTTATGTAGGAAAAGAAACTTGTATTGTCCACCTTATCAAGCACAGTATGCATTTAAGGTGCTACAATAATAATAAATAACTGTGGTAGTAGCAACAATTTTTTCATAATTCTACAGTTAGCCCATATTAAAGTACAGACCTTTTGCACACAGACTTCATTGTTCAGGAAAATTTTCTTCTGTTATCATTGCTTTTTGTGTGATTTAATCCATCAATGTCTGTAACCCAGGGAAAGAAAATTCTAATGAACTTTCCACAGACTTAGCTGAATGGTTTGTGTGTTTATCATTTGGAACACTGGCTCAGGAGGTTTTAAATAGTTGCTGTTAGTGCCTGATAACACAGCAATTCGGGACACAGTAAGTAAGCAGTGCTTATTAGCTGGAGCAACTGTTCTTACTGCAGAGTGCTCCGGTAAGATGACAGCTGGGCTTTTCACATCAAGCAGTGTCACAGAGGTAGGGCATTCTTTACCCATGTATGATACCTTGAGAAACAAAGTGACTTGGCAGCTAGATAAAGGGCCAAGATACCCAAGTCGTCTTGGAATTTTGTCAAAGTGGGGTCCCTTAACAAGTTAAAGTGGAGTCCTGCTCAAAATGGTTTGAAATTCTGAACCTAGTAACGCTTACGTAGGCTTCTAGCAGGATCTGTAGTCTCTGTTAAATGAGAAGTCTGGTATGTATGATCTGGGATCAAAATATATCTGGTACAGGTACGTACAGACGTTGAATCCAGCTACCGGAATGTAGAGCTCAGCACAGAGCAATTCACTGTGCTTCAAGAATCGACTCAATAAAACAATCACACAGTTCCTTGTTTCCAACAGAACACTCACTAAGTGCAATCTACATCCTCCAAAGATCTCAAGTATCTACTAGCTGCTTCCTCTGAGAAACTAGCTCTGTACTTGCTCCCTCTGTATAGCCATCTCAAACCCCACCTCAGTCTCAGGTTATTCACAGCTACATGTGTTCCATCAGAGAACAACTGGTCCCTGATTTCAAAGGAGAATGGAAAGGGTCCTTTTAAATTTAAAAATGTAGGTAACCATAGACTTATCTTTGAGGCCAGAGAGCAGCAGCTGCTTGCATAGGGAATCTAAAGGTTGTACTGAGTAATTAAGAGGATATCTAGACATCTTTGTAGACTAGTGTTTTCCCTTCGTGAACTGTTAAAAAAGGAAGATAAAGGCATAAAATGCAACCTTCTTGTTGGAAAAGATGCTAGGCTTGTTAGAAAAGAAGTAATGCAATTTTGTAAGTTTTTGAAAGATTACTCAACCCATTATACACAATTTTGGGAATGTTTATAGATAGAATATTGAAGAACTTGTTCCACAAGGAATTCACATTCAGAGACCTGATAATAATTCGGGCACTTATTTCTAGTGACACACATCCCAGCAGCTTGCCTACATTTTGTTTAACCAGTCAGAAGGCTTGGAAAGATTAGGTGTTTAGCTTATGTCTCCTTTTGTGGTGTAATTAACATCATCATTTTCACTTCAGAGCATATTTCCTCTTTTTATTTTTCTTAATTTTTCTGTCTCAATTCCATATGTGGTTATAAAGTAAATCCTTGTACGTTCCCCTGCAAATGAAATTACTTTGAAATTGGCAATTTCATCTGAGAATTTTACTATGCTAATAAATGTCAGGATTCTCAAATTAAGGAATTGTGTTGGTTTGGTTTTTTGGCCATACAGAAGTAATGAAAAATAGCCAGGCAGTTCAGAGAGTTACCAGGCAAAACCCTTCAACAACACATGACCAGAATCTACGGCAATAAAGTGCAACATGAGATAAATTTTGAAGGAAACAAAAGGAGATCACAGCAAGCAGAATTTAAGAACAGAAGCCTTCCTTGGTAGGAATGTGCAGCCACTGCCAATACACTTGAGGGCTGTGGGCAAGCATGGAGATGCTTTGTAAGCTAATGAATGCTTCTTGCTGCCTTCCAGAAAATAAATGGCCTATGATAAGGTAACCAGTTAGCAGGAAGAATAGGAGAGAAGGCAGTGAAGGAATAAATATGGAGAATTAAGAAAATGAGGGGGAAATCTGCTTATTGCATTGTTTTGTCAGCACTTTGGATTTTTGCTACTCTGGGAGGAAGACCAGGCACTGCTGCCTCACTTTCATTCTGCAGTTCTCTAGGATTTCACCTTTAGCTCCAAGGTAGATTCAGCTCAGATTTTACACTCTCAGTCTGTAAGAATTGGGCTGGTCCGTACTGCAACCCTGAATGCAGCATCTGCTTCATGCTGTCTGCCTCTACATTTAGTGCTGTCATCACTATATCCATCATTTAAGCTGTTCATCACTATATCCAAAATCTTTTCTAGTACTGCAGTTACACTGTCTGGAATGGCTAGCTTTATTCTATTACACAGTGACTTTCAAGTCTTGCTTTCTCATCTGTTTTTCTAGTGGTAGCTGCTGTTGATTGGAAGAGGTATGTGTTATGGATTTTCATTAGAAGATTTCCTGTCAGTATTTCTTGTCAATGAGACCACTGGGAATACACTGACACACCTATTATGGTAATGCTGTTCCATAAGGAAAAATGCTACAGCAATAAGGAGACCTTTTAAACGAATTGAACTTTTCTTCATGTCTGTTTCACAGCAATAAAATGTGGCATGCAAGGTACCAAGCTTGTTTGCGTGTATCTTTGAAAAAGTAGCTCTTGAGGCTTTATTCTTGCTTCTTCCTATATCCACATCTGGTCTTTCTAATTTTGTTTTGATCTGTTATTGTATGAAGACGTGCAGTTTAATACTGCCGTCTTGTATAAAAGAGAACAAAGCAAAGAAATTGAGAGCAATCATGAATGGGATTTTCAAGGCTACTAGAAGAATGTAGATGCCAGGCTATTACCTCTTACAATTACTGTAATGGAGTAATTATGTAGTATGAGTATTTACACGTTAGATTTATAAAAGAATAATCCAGAGCAACTATTAAATCCTAAATCCCTATTGTGTTGAACAAGTACTGAGAAAACAAGGTAGCTCCTGCCTCAAGAAAGAGATACCTAAAAATTTCAGTTGTAACAGAGATCATTTTCAGACTTACTGAATAGAAACTGTTTCCAAAGCCCAGATTCAGAGTGAAAATTTCCACTGGATTTCAGTTCATTTGAATCAAATTAATAAAGCCTGTATCTTTGCTCAGGTGAGCCAAGATGAAAACACTAATGTCAAGCAATT